TCCATTCCGTTCGCATACACATGTATGCACGTAGCACACGTGTCCGGCACTACTACAGTTCATCACCCTCCCATTCTCCCTCTTATGGTCCGAGAGGCGTCTGCGAGTGAGACACGTCGCGTCTCAGTGGTGTTGGCTCTAACCGCACGTTCGCCGAAGGAGAACGGAGGGCAAAGCAATGGCTGCCGCAAGCCGTTTGAAAGACCCGCACTTCAAAAGGGCCGCCGGTGGGGCATCGGCGCTGCTCTGCCAGATTTACAGGCTTCATGCGGCCAGAGAGGATTCCCCAGCTCAGCAGCATCCTGGATTTTTATTTATCTTTGACTCGTTCTGTCTTCTTCGGGCGGTTCGCAGTGTGTGCGTTGCGCCAGCTCTGCTGTTGCGGACGGGTCGGAGTGGGATCCAGACGCGCCGCATTACCGTATGGGCGTCGGCCGGTACATACGAACCCCCTGCGACGCGCGGCCGACAGACGCCGACGGTTGGTTGTGTGTGCGTCGTCTCACTGAAAACGGTGCAACGTTGAGGGAACTGCACGGCGTCAAGCGGGTCGTCGATTGGCACTGGTGAAAGTGGTACAGTGTTTCGACGGTGCTTTTAAGACGATTTTTCTTTCCTACCCACCTATGGTTCGGCGGTGTTAATCCTGTCAATGTAACTTCGCTCGCAGTATCTGGAATACAGCTGACTGTAAACTACATGAATTGCGTGGAGCGTAGCCATACAGATTGCGAGGTACTCACGAATTCCTCAGCGTGAATAATGAGCAGGAAGTACGCTTTCAACTGCACGAGCATTTTGAGCGCCACCTCGTGGCATGATTTTAGTACAAGCGACGAGTGTTTGCAGTTGTGCATCGACACTTATCGTTGGTAAGACCGTTTCAAAGGGCAGATATTAACATCTCCTTCTTGTCATTTCCTGTTTAATCGTTTTGTTTACTAGTTGCCGAAGATGCCCACAACGAATCGGTAGGGCCATCTGAATATGCCCGAAGTTTGCTTCTACTTCTCAAAGTTGTGCCTTCCCCCTCCCTCCTCGCGAAAGTATTCCGTTGGACAGTTTCCTGATTCCTGACGACGGTAACAAGTAATATGCTGATTGTAAGCCAAATACAAAGAATTTCTAACAAATAAAGGGAACAGCAATCTCTCGGAGTAGTACACATCACAACTGCGCCCGATGCATATAGTGCGAGAAGAAAAAAAACAGTGAAAAGGGAGACGAGGTGCGAGAGAAGGGACACGTAGAACAAGCGCTGTTCTGTGGGACATTGTGATTTCCTCTTTCCTCAACGGACGAGCTACGCAATGGTGCTTGTTGCTTAATTTCTGCACTTCAATGCGGTGCGACAGAACTGGTCCACATTTAACACGTCGCTCCACGCAGTGTCACTAGATCTTTTAACTGTACATAACGCGCCACAGAGACTCATCGCAGCCAGTAGACATGGCCGATCGAAGATCTCCGCTGTTACTGTTCACTTCACTGCACCGTTTTTCCGAGTCCGAAAGGAAACGATGTGCAAGCTTCTGGCGCTCCGCCACGGCGTCGGACGGCTTCCCTTTTGTCCGGCGAGAGGAATCCTCCGGGGAATGCTTTTGGGGCCCGGGTTATATGGCCCATTAGCGACGATGGAAAACCGTTCCGACCGTGTGGCGTCGTACCATTGAAAAGCGCCGCCGTGAGCGATGGCTTAGGTCGAAGAAGGCGCTTTGAGGACAAGCCGCCACACTCGCTAGCTGTACAGATCATACGCGTCCACGTTCGGTGGGAGGCAGGGATTGAAGAGACACGTGTTTATGGACGAATTCCACCGGACATACGTCACGAAAATGCGGTGGCGCTGTCGTCGGGGGGTTTGGTTTTCGCGTGGTAGGCAAAAGCCGCCGTGTTTCCCGCAGTTGTTGCTCTGTTTTCGCTGGTGCGTGCGCTGTTTGTTGCCGTGCAAAGAAAAAAAAAAAAGGTGTACCAACGAGCTTTCACGGTGATTTGTGCGGGAAGGCATGAGACAGATTGGCCTGGTCGTTTTTTATTTCTTCTTTCAGTTTTCTGTTTACAAAAACTGTCGCAAGACTTGCCGTGCGAGAACTTGCCTTTGACGCCGGTTCATCAGTTATGTTTCGAAGCAGCTTACCCAGAAAAAAAAAAAACGACACAATTAGCTCTGTCAAGCGTTTCTCATTGTAATGTGCTGCACCGCAGTTAAGCCTTATGTAGAGGCGCAGTGAACATATTTATCTCAATGCACGTAAACGTAAGCTAGAGCTATACGCATCAACAAGTCTCATGTGTTCATTTCCTTCCTTTGTTGCGGCCGCTGTTAGTAAGAATGCCTGATACGGGAGGCGTTCAAACACGCCGTGCTCGGAGGCAGCTGTTGCCTCTGCCGCGCCGGTTGTCACGTGATCATGGAGGGTGGTAGCGCCACAGAACACCTATATAATACCCTTTAGCCACTGCCGCGGTGGCCTAGTGGCTAAAGCACTCGGTTGTTGACCCGCAGGTCGCAGGATTGAATCCCGGCTGCGGCGGCCGCATTTTAGATGAAGGTGAAAGTGCTGTAAACGCCCATGTGCCCAGATTTGGCTGCTCGTTAAAAAAAAAAAACCAGGTGGTCTAAATTCCCGGAGCTCTCCACTACGGCGTCTCTCATAATCATAAATGGTAGTTTTGGGTCGTTTAACCCCATATATCAATCATCATACTACCATTTAGCGCGCTTTTGGCTGGGACAGCTGGGTGGGGCCAGGCTTTGCGACGTCGCTACAACAAATTTACATATATCGACGGCGCCTACCTCTGTTTACAAGCATGGAATAGGTCTATACCTGCGCGGAAGCATCGGTACGGCAGCAGTGGCGCGCAATGGTGCGTGGCGCCCAGATATGGCGGCCGCCACCGTGGGTGGTCCTTTTCGGATGCTTGCAGGCGGTTTCACTCTCGACGTCACCACAGCTTATCTCGTCACGTCTCGCGAACTTTTGCGAGATCTTCTTCTGTAGTCGTTTCGTTGTTTGTCGATGAAATCTTCGTTTGATTGGTATTCTGACGAATAAAAGAATACTGGCGGCCAACTTTTTCTGAGGGTCGTATGTCGTGGTCAGAGGTGCATAGAAGTAGAAATACATTTCGGGTTTTGCATACGAAATCTACGTTGTTATAACTAGGAAGGCTGTAGTGGAAGGTTCCGGGAATTTCGACAACCAGACCTAAACCTAAGCTAACTAACTGGCTTCCATCATTTTCCCCTCCGTCGAAAGGTGGCCGCTATTCGATCACGTGACCTTTGTGTTATAAATCGAGCACCACTAGACCACCACGGCGGGCGAAGACACGCCCAGCAGTACACACGCAGTATTTTATTAAATTACGGGTACTATGCCCGTGTATATAAACGGCCGGTCGGATTATCGTCCTCCTCTGCCGGGAGGCAAAGACGTGTGGGTACGCCGGCTGTCGCATCTTACGGCGGCAATCCAGCATGCCTATAAGCGGCTCCCCGCTTATCGACATCTTGCGCTCAAGTCTTTAAACACAGTTTAATTCTGGATCTCTGTTAAAAGGTCATTGATGTTACAATTAACCTTTCACCATTGTATTCTTTTCATGTGATACTAGCTATGTTGTGCTCTTCTAAATATTGCTTAAAAAGTCAACCTGGTAGTTATTGTTTAGGTGAAACCTAATACTACTACCATGGTCCGTAAGTGCTAAGAAAAGTATTTAAAGACTATAATTCTAATAAACGTTCATTGCTCACGAAATTGAGTGCTTCGCTTTCTAAAGCGGGCACATGTGTCGCCATGTCGTGCGCAGATGCCCTCGCGTTCCTCCAACCATCGAGTGACAAATGCGTCCACGATTTAGGTCGCGTTGTCGGAAGTCGCCCGTCGCGGTGCACAGTGTCTTTCGATGGCGGCGCTGTTCTCTGACAGTCGCTTCCTATATATATGATCGGCTTGAGTCACGTTTACGGTGTTTCCCGAGCCACAGTGACTACATGTTTAAGATAATGCATTCTCGGATCCCAGAAACTCGTTTTAGAAACAGTTTTGGAAGCCGTCTCGGCATTACGACGCCATGCATGTTGTTACAATGGTCTTTTTTGATAAGGGTCGCTTTTCGAGTGAGTTCATACACATTGAAGCTTTTTATAACCCAATAAATCGGTAGGAAAGCAGGAAAAACCACGATTAAAAAGCGATTAGGACATAGTGGCATTAGTAGTGCATCGTGAGGGAAAGATCTCAATTCATAAGCCTCTTTTTGTGCCAATTTGCTTTTTATTCGCAAATTTTTCGTTTTCCCATGACCATTTGCTTGCTTTGTATGATGTTGGACGCGTTACTTTTGAAGGATATGTGAAAGATTTTACTGAACCAAAAATTTACGCAGTGCATGACGTGTATCATAAAGTGGTATGTATATACTGCAGCTGTCGACGCGCATATGTAGTCCCCGTCGTGTAATCCGTCCCCAGTGAAGGGTAGCAAACCGGAAATTTTGTTCTGGCTAACCCACCCGCCTTTCACTTGACATTTCTCTATATAACTGTCTTTTCCGTCGGGACCAAGTATGGGTGCAGATTTAGTCCCCGCCACGTAATCCACGCATGCCCTCTGGCGTTTGGCGTTGCATTTTGTTCGACTCAATATCCGGTACGACGTGGTGCGCCGGGGCCCAGTGCCGAAACAGGGTACACGGGGCTCGCTGTATTACCCCATCAATACGCGGTGTACAGATTCAAAAGTTCCACAACCCTGCGGTTTTTTCGTGGCCTCTGGCGTGGCGGATCCAGTCCTTCCAAAGCATGGCTCTCTCGCGTTCATAAGCAGAGTAATAAATACTAATAGCGCTATTACCTGCGGTTTTACGGCTCGCCGCTGCTGCAGCTTGTTGCAGAGGAGGCTTAAAGCGTAATAGCCTCGCGATGTAGGTCACATGTGCGCCGGAATACGAGAGAGCGCGGCTCGCGTGCATGGGTGTAAAGCGACGCTATGCGAGACTTTGTTAAGCGGCAGAAGGCCTCCTCGCTGCGTCAGTCGCTGAGGGGCCGCAGCAGCCGCCATGACGGCACTCCCGGCTCCAGCGGCGGCACCTCCAACCGGCGTCCGGCCTCGCTCTACCTGGCCGACTCGTCCTCGCGATGTTCCAAGTCGCGTCAGTCGCTGCGCCGCGAGTGGGGCTCCCAGCGGGACCTGTCCCGCGAGAAACGCCACGGCGCCGCACCGCCGCACCCTCCGTCGGCCTCCCAACAGCTCCCCCAGCATCAGCAGCAACAGTCGTGCGACGCTGGCTCGGACCACGAGCCGGACACGGCGTGGTCCTCCACCTGGACCCTGCCGGACAGCACGAGCGGAAGCGTGCCTCTGCCTCCCCCCAAGCAGCGCTCGCCGCGCAAACTGACCAAGGACTCCGGTTACGAGACCAGCGGTGGCGGCGGAGCTCACGGAGAGCCCGACTACGTGAACAGAGAGTGGGTGTCCCGCGCGCCCAGTCCGCCGCCGACGTCCGGCCAGACGTCGGGCCCGCCCAGCATCGGCCCAACTAGTCCCGTCGGCGCTGGCGGCTCCACGTAAGTTCACCCTCTGTTTACTTTTGTGGCGCTTTGCGTATACGCGTTTGCGAGACGAGCGAGCTCTGTAGTGCACAGCGAGAAATCCGGTGGCGAACTCTGCAAAGTACAACGTGCTTTTTTTCCTCGGGCTAGAGCAGGAAACACGTTTCTAAGATTCACAATATACAGAATGGCCTTTCAGGCGACATTTCTGCCATTACTTGTACTTCTACCTTCACAACCAGTATCACTTATCATCTTTCACTTTAGGACAAACGATTGTTTTCTGCTCAATTTTTATGTACCCACCCCTTATGTAATGCCCCGCAAGGGGTCTTTAAGGAAATAAAATGAAATGAAATGAAGCACACTCGTGCGACCATAAGATTACTGCGCCAAGCTATAATAATGAAAATTATAGCGGCTGTGAGACTGCGACAATGATAAGAAAAAGAAACGATTGTAAACAAGAATTATACGTTACGAAGAATAAGTAATATTCGATGTCCGCTTGCGTACCACACAGTGAACAGACCATATGGAATCCGGAACAGCAAACATTTTGAGACGTTGTTAAAATATGGGTTGTGCTTTACGCGCCCATAAAATATCCGTTGCCACAGCGATTTAACAAGTTTCATTTTTTTATCATTCCCGTCCATCTCTCGAGCAAAGCCTATGTGTCTCGTTCCTGCACGGACACCAGTTTATGTAAGCTCGTAACTACATTGTCCACAAGCAACAATGAACTCCCTCGAAGTTGCGCCAATAGAAGGCCTTTAGCATCGAACCTTACGCATATACTTTCCGGAAGCGACGTGCTCCCGTTTTTTTTTTTGGTTTTTCGTATTCTTATGCAAGTGGGACACGGCTTACCTGTATACGCATACGTGCTTCAGAATCCTTGCCCTTCCTTTTATCGTCGCTGCTTCCGGTCGTACCACGCGTCCATACACCGGAACCTGGAAGTCTTCTGATCCGCGCGAGCTTGCACAATCAATGACCATCGCAGCGCGCTCGCCGGTTGCCTCAACGGTTCTCTCGATTACGGGCTACTTACCACCTCTTCGACCATCTATTCTTCCTCATCAGTGGTGCGTGCAATTATGCGTTCAGGAAGCGTGTTTTGAGTCTTTCTTTCGGGGCGGACAGCGTGGACACACGACGTGGCCTTTCTTCCAATTAAGGCGAGGTCCCTTTATTCCGGGCTCGAACAATGGAGCCAGTCAGCGCCGTCGACTGGCCGCTATCTCCGGACCCAATCAGCCGTGCGTTGTTCGGTATAGTTTCGCGGGCCGTGCATGGGCAACGGGCCCAGCCAGCAGGACCGTTCTCCAGGCGCGGGCAATCATCCCAGTGGCGCCGCGCCCGGACCGACCAGCTTAAATCCGTGGCTGACCGCAAGAAATAAACTGATTGACTCGAGGATTCCCCCTTTGTCATATGCGAAAAAGGTAATAGCAGTAATGCTTAGCTCAACTAACCCAACAACTATAGCTTCACAAGAATGTTTAGCTTAACTAACGAGACATGGCTGCTCGTTTCGTTTCGCCTGCGTGATAGACGTCACTGTTTCTTGGGTTAGGTAACCGCGTAAAGAACAAGGGTTTGTTGCTCTTTCTTTCTTTCTTTCTTTCTTTCTTTCTTTCTTTCTTTCTTTCTTTCTTTCTTTCTTTCTTTCTTTCTTTCTTTTTAGTTGGTTGCAATTTTCTCTGCTGAGAATGTAGCTGCAGAATGAATGGTGTATCGTGTGCCGCATAAATCGCAGCTAGGTTCTTAGCGATCTCGCGCATCGTTTCCCGGATGGTATTCGTAGATACTATGTGCAGTGCCCCTCCTTTAATGCACGGCATACCGATTTCTTTATCGACATCGCTGATTCGATACAGTGTTAACGAGAGCCGGAAATGAGCCCGGTTCTGGCAGTGATTGGCTTCAAGCGCAGGTAACGAACGCGACGTGGAAGCCTCGCAGCAGTAAAAATACGGCGCGGAGCGCAACATGAGAGCATGCCGTGCAGGTAAATGTGCACAGGAAGCGCAGCAATTTCGAATGAATTAGAAAAAAACAACAAAAAACGGGGAAGATTGAGCCTGTGCTTGTTTTAGCGTATATTTTATGTTCCGCGCATCAGCTATAGTGGTTTAGATTAGAAGACTGCAGATTTACCGTCGTGAAGGGCGATGTTATCGCTCTTGGGCCCGTTAGTCAACAATATGGAACAACTGTCTCAACGCCACGATGCGTCGCTCGTGCGCATGCGTACATTATATGCAGTCTTTATACGAAGGTATAGACCACGTAATAATTGAACGCTTCCTTCGAGACTCCAAAGCAATAGCGGATCGCCGTAGATGTGTGCGCGTAGTGCATAGCGTATGTAGTATACAGCTAAGCCGTGGCTGCAGGCGGCGCGCGCCGTGCCCAGCCGTCTAGAAATGCGCGCACTTCACGATAAGCGCTTGTCGTTTTCTTGAACGGGGACCTAGAAGGATTCCAGGACGGCCAGTGTATAGCGTTTCAAGTACGGCCACAGAAAGGCGGCGAGCTGTCATCGGAGGAATTCGAGCATTGCGTGGCGTGACTGATGACTTGCTGCTGTATACGCATGGTTGTGTTAAGCACGGGAATAAGCAGCTAATTCTCTCGCCATATCGCAATATTGGAGAGGCAATCGAGAGGTAGAGAATAAAAGTTTCGGAGAATGCAAATGAGGTGAGTGATATCAAAGCGACCTCGCTGAGTTCAGCCGTATTTTACAAGGATATATATTTATAAATCGCGCAATAAGAAAGGGTGGCGCCTTAAGGGCGGTGTCTTTCTTCATAATACATTGTTGTACGGATCTCCTTTGCTTACTTCCCGTAATGGTGTATGATGATCTCCATGATATCCGCCATAGTGCTGACGAGAATCGCAGGCCGGGATTAAGTTTGCCTAAAATAGAGACCAACCTTTGATGACTACTGTATCTACTCACATTTTACTGAAACTGGCTGTTTCTTTGTGTCGGTCAAACGCAAGCTAATGTTGACTGCTCTTGGATGTCCGTTGCAATGGTGGCAACACTGCTTTCATCCAGTCTAAGTCGAGTTGTCGGCCACTGCTTTCCACTATAACTCCATTTTGGTTTTTCCATTTGTCATAATCTTGCCTTTAACCGCTTCTCGGCTATCACACGTATCGGCAGGTTCGAAAGCATAATAGTTATATAAACATATCGAACAGAAACCATTATTTCTGAGACGAGACTTCTATTAGAGCTGGGCTTTGCACTAGTTTATTACGCTCTCTCGCACCCTCACTTGCGCGTGATGCCTTCCATAGGAAACTTGTTTGGTTGAAGAAATTCTGGCTAATTGATTTAACTCACTGCGTACAGCAACAGGTGCACTATAGTAAACGTTGCATTGAATTTAAGATTCTCCGTTTGCGTTTCATCAACGTGCACCGAAGCCTCGACTGGAGGGGGAAATGTAGGCCCGTGTGCTCTGATTCGGGTGCACGTTAAAGAAACCCAGGTGGTCCAAATTTCCGGAACCCTACACTACGGCGTCTCTCATAATCATGTAATGGTTTTGGGGCGTTAAACCCCGCATATCATCAACGCAAGCCTCGATGATAGGCAGGTTTGAAATGGGGAGGTAGCGTTCGTTGCGTATGTACGCTATCTCTCTCACTTAACGGGCATACTCTACAGAAAATCTTACGACTCATGCGCAGTGGCGACGAACGCTAACTCAAAGCTTTGGTAACGTATTCTAAAACTGCTCAACTTTGTGCATTCTGTTCGCGTTCGCATGTGCCCGCTGCAGCGCAACAAAATGACACCCGATCTCTTGCTCTGCAACGCTCCCTGAAGTCACTTCGAGAATTTCAAAACTTTGCAGTAGATTGTCCTAATATCAAAAAGCCCCGTGAAGTAAGATGGTCCTGTTTGACTGTTTATGTATGAAAGATTGAGAAAATTGTGAGACTCTAATCTAACTGCATCAATACTGAGGGCAAATGTTCTATGAACAGAGCTCAGAAGATTGACCACGAGAGCGCTGAATAAAAATCACGTATTGTAAGATAAAATTGCCGTTCATTGGAGAAGTGCGTGAAAATTTCTACCGAGCCAAAGCTTACACATCTTGAAACTTAAGTTAGTGGTCAAGTGAAAGTTAAGCGTTGACAGCCGGGCCAATTAGATTCGGTGAATACTTAGAAGCATTGTACTGCAGACTAAGACGCGGACATGATAGAGAAAAAAAAACTGCGTTGTTCTTCTTTCTATCCTGCCTGTGTCGTTGTTCACCAGTATATTGTTTAACAGCTGTCACGTGAAGGTGCAGACAGGACTGCAGTGACAGTCCCAAAGCTGTCCGAATGCGCGCAGCATTGTAATCAGGCTGCAAGCCGTTTCATTTTGCGCCTTCGACTGCTGCGCGTTCAGGAGGCGATGACTCCGGCCGCTGATTGACTCCGCTGGCGCTGTTTAGCCGCCTCCCTTTCCCGCCGAGTGTCGCCTCTGCGCCGAGCGGGTCCTTCCGAGCGGGTTTCAATGTGCACGTGCCGTGATCCGCGTACCTAAACTTCCTTCGGGCGAACGTTAACGGCCAATTAAAACACCGACATCATTCGGAGGACGAAGAGGGTGACTATTAAACCGGCTCTCGCACCCTCTTCCACCCCCTGTTCGCATATACGATGCCACGTCGCTTAATTCTGAGCCCGCTATGTACGTACGTAAACTTCTTCCTCCCCAATCGTCCCGATCTATAGCAGCATGTTCGGAGGTGCTCCGTCAATTATTGATCCTTGCGGGGGTTGGCACGGGCGAATGCTAAAGATTGTCGCCTCGGAGTCCGCTCGCTACATAGTCGCATCCAGCTAGCAGGCGCCGGTAGCGCTGTTCGATGGCCCCCGGATGAAAAAGTTGAAGTGGAGAGAAGTAACCATTTTTTTCTCTCTCTCTCTCTCAAGTTGTACGATTGTGTACGCTGGACAGAATGACCGTATCTTCTGTCTTCTGATCCA